CCAAATTTATCCGCCAACAAACATATTCAGTAGCTTGGTATTAGAAAGGATTTGCACCCTAAAATCAAAGGAAAAAGAACATATCTTCCCGCAGCACTTTGGTCTCTGTCCAAGACAGAGAAGAAGATTTTCTGTAAGCGGCTATTTGACTTCAAAGGCCCAGATGGGTACTGTTCAAACATATCAAGAGGCGTCTCATTAGATGACTGTAAGGTCACAGGTCTGAAATCACACGATTATCACGTGTTAATGCAACAGCTTCTTCCGATTGCACTTAGAGGGTTGTTACCTAAAGGTCCTAGGGTAGCAATTGTGCGCTTATGCACATTTTTCAATCACTTGTGTCAGCGAGTAATTGATATGGAGCAGCTTTTGGTAATGGAAGCTGAGATTGTTGAAACCCTTTGCTTGTTTGAAAGATTCTTCCCGCCAAGTTTCTTTGATATCATGGTGCACTTGACAGTACATTTAGGCAGAGAAGCTCGGTTAGGTGGACCAGTTCATTTTAGATGGATGTACCCGTTTGAAAGGTATATGAAAGTTCTGAAGGATTTTGTGAGGAACACTGCAAGACCTGAAGGGTGTATTGCTGAGTGTTATCTAGCTGAAGAATGCATCCAGTTTTGTAGTGAATTTTTGAAGAAGACAACCAATGTTAAGGAAAGTGTAGATAGAAACACTGAGTATGAAAACAACACTATACTTGAGGGGCGTCCAATCTCTGCAGGCATCTCACTTAATCTTACTGAAATGGAGAAAAAAATAGCCCACATGGCTGTCATCCAGAATATGGCTGTCGTGGAGCCTTATGTAGAGTAAGTTCCACATTTTGCTAGTTCATTCATTAATTATATTTAGGATAAATGTCTGATTATTTCTTTTTCACTTTTTCTTTTAACAGTGAGCACCTACAGCATCTACAAGACTCCAATGGAAGATGCAGACGTGATGCATCACTGTTATGGAGTATGCACACTCAGAATTTTGCCTCTTGGCTTAAAGAACAGGCTAGTTATCTCTTACATAAACACCTAATGTAATTCAGTTTATGTATATAGGTGCCTGACCTTTTCTATTTACTTTTGTTAGATACATCTTGATTCAAACAGACATGGAGAAACAGTGAAATGGTTGGCATATGGTCCACGTAGCTGCGCTAGGTCATATACTGGTTACATAGTGAATGGGCAACGATTTCACACAAGATCAGTTGATAAGAAAACTCAGAATAGTGGTATTTACTATGAGGCCACTGCAGTCTGTAGGTCTAGTGCGAAGGACACCTCACAAGTGGTTGATTTGGTATCATATTATGGTTGCATAACTGACATTATCTTGTTAGACTATAATGTGTTTTATGTTCCTTTGTTCCGCTGCAACTGGGCAGTAAAGGGCAATGGAGTGAAGGAAGAGGATGGTTTTACACTTGTAAATCTGAATCATAGTCAAGTCTCCTTTTTAAGGGATCCATACATACTAGCCTCTCAAGCAAAGCAAGTGTTTTACCTAAGGGAAGATGACTCATCAACTTGGTATGTTGCAATGAGAGGTCCTTCGAGAAGCTTCAGTCAGAAAGAGTTTCAAGATGCAGTTGCAGACATTGGGCCATTGCCAACAAGTGTTGACATTGATGTTGACTTGGATGAGGCTGAAATGAGAGATCTGATTGTGAAGGGATATATGTGTGAAATGTCTGATTTTTTACCTTAGCTCAAGTCTGATGTCTGTTTTTTTTTTTTAATTGTTTTTCCATTGTGTGTTTGATAGTTATTATGTTTGTTTTGCTTTGATGTCTGCTTTTAGTTCTCTTTAATCTACTAACTCTTTTCTTCTTTCATTTTTATTAGGTGATTTAAAATGGTTGGGCGCAAGAAAAAGCGAGGAAGAAACACTAAAAAAAAGGATGAGGAGGTAGAGTATGTGGGTACAATGGAACCACAACAAGAAGAACCAGCTGAAGTTCAAGCTGAAGATCCAGATCATTTGGAACCACAACATGAAGAACCAGCTGAGGTTCAAGTAGAAGTCCAAATGGGTGATAAAGAACCTGATGTGGGAGAGCCTGAAGGAGAGATAGAATTTTCTGAGGGTCATGAGGTTGCTATTGAACCTAAGAGTAAGAGACAGCGAGGACCAACTAGGATGAAAGACATAGCCAAGGATCCAAATACCAGAGTTAGAGTAGAGTACAATATCATGGGAGAGCCTATTGGTAAAGGGTCAGTTAAGCTGTCATCATATGTTGGTGCATTGGTCCGAGAACATGTTCCTATCACAATTGATCGTTGGACAAAAATAGGTGAAGAAATCAAGACACTTCTCTGGAAATCTGTCCAGGTATCATTTCTCTAATTTTTCTTGTATTGCATTACGTTTTATCAGATATTGTAATTAAATTTACTGTTTTTTCTATTGAGTGCAGGCTAGGTTTGAACTAGATGAAGAGTACCAAAAGGTTGCAGTGCTTAAGCAGATGGGATGTTTGTGGAGGTCCTGGAAATCAAAGCAAGTTACAAACATCAGAGAAGCTAAGACTAACCAGCAGAGGATGAATCTGCGACTTAAAAATGTTTCTCCAACCGATTGGCGTAAATTTGTGAAGCTCAAAACTAGCCAAGAATTTAAGGTATGCATCTGGAATCAGGATAATTAAGTTTATGTACTATATAGTATATTACAAGTTAACATTCATCTGTTAGGTTGTAAGCGATAGCTACAAGGAAAGAAGGCGCAAACAAATTCCTCACACTTGTAGTCGCAAGGGAATGGTTAGACTAGCATAAGATATGGTAATCACATGACAGTTATGTTGTTTATATTGCTCAGCTTCTTTTTAAAACACTTATTAATATGTAATGATTTTTGTTTGGTTTAGAAAACTGGTAGTGCAGACCCATCTGAAGTGACAAGGCTAAAGGTTTGGGTTAAATCACGTACCAAGAAAGATGGTACACCAGTGAACACTAATGCTGCTGAAAAGATTGTGAGTTTAAAATTTTGCTTCTAATGATGTGCATATTGGCATTTGATTCTTAATCTGCTATTGAATCTGTATCTTATGAGTTGCAGAAAAAGGCAAATGAGATTGTTAACAGTGATGATCCATCGATTGCAACAAATGAAGCACAACAAGATTCACTTAGCCAACTGTTAGGGCCTGACAATCCTGGTAGAATGAGGGCAATGGGTAGAAATATGAATAAGACCAAGTTAGCTTGTTTCCAAGTGAAGCACAAGTGTATGGCTCAAATGCAAGAGAATCAGATTCAGCTCCAGCAGAAGGTCACTGAGTTAGAAGATGTAATTCTGAAAATGAAGAATCAGGTTAGAAACTTATCTATTTATACATTGTGAAGCTTATCTATTTATACATAAAGAAGCTCAAATAGTTCATAGTATTTGACTTTGTTTTTTATGTAACAGAGACAATCACCTGAGGTTGGTGAAAACTCAGCTGCAAGAGTAAGTGACTTATATCAAATGTTTTTGATTTCTTTGTTACTTTATAATCTAATATATTTTTCTTCTAATTACTTTTACAGAGTGTGAATAAAAGATCACAACCAAAGTGTGTCTTGATTGATTGGGCTGGTTCTGAGGAAAAAGTTGCTGAGGGGCTTATTATGTCTTCTGATCCTGATGAATTAGTTAATGAAAGTCGCTTAGGCCCTACGGATGTTAAAGTCTTGATTGTCACTGCTATTGTACCAGAAGCATTCCTTTGGAGACCTGCGATTAACATGTGCACCATTGAGAAAGCTGTTGGACATATGGTGTCCTGGCCATCTAGTTTGTGTGTTAATCTAGAAGAGGAGCTCCAACCAGAAGACATTGCAACCCTGGTAAACTTTATCACTCATTCTCATACTCATACATAGAAAGTATATGTTAACACTGGTTGAATGTGTTTGACAGGGATCAAGACCTGATTCTGTGAACAAGTGCAAGCTACTGGATTTGTCTTCATATGATGTTGTTGTTGCAGAAGGACGTTGGCAGACACAAGATGCCAATGCATTAGTTAATGGGCTTCCTCTCGGACCAGCAGCAGTGAAAATATTTGTGGATGCAGTGATTCAACCTGAGACATTTATATGGAGGCCAACGATTGATGTCATGTACCTTGAGGACTGTTTACAGTCTTCTGTAGCTTGGCCTGCCAACAAAGTTGTCTTTGAAAACCATGCAGATGCAACATGTCAGAAGTCTCCACTTCATCAGGCTTCTGCATCAACTCATCAAACAACAACAGAAAAGGCAGCAGCATCAGGAGGAAAAGCACCATCATCAGGTCCACTAAATGCAGCAGCTGGTTATAAGTCATCTGTTGAGATATCAAAATCCGCAGCCACAACAAAAGGAACGAAATCCGCAGCCACAGTTTCAAAATCTATTGTTGAGAAGTCTCCAGCAACATGTTCAAAGCCTCCTGTAAAGAAAAGTCAGTTAGCTTCACACTCCCCTCTACGAAGATCTCCGGTAAATTTAGCAGATGTTGTTACTTACTGATTCTGGTTATTATTATACATGAATTAAACCTGTTTATATTGTAATATGGCAGCGTAAAACTGGAGCTGAAGTTATCAAGGCTAATCAGAAGTGCAAGTTAATGGATATTAGTGGAAAGAGGCGGGTGGTTGGTGAAGGACGTGTGCATTCAATCGACCCAGACCAAAAGGTACACCATGTTCGCTTGGGGGCAAATGCAGCTAGAGTTTGGGTAGATGTAGTGAAGATAGATGATGCAGCAGTTTGGAGGCCATCAGATGAAATCGAGTATATGAGAGATTCACTTGGTTCATCTATTGCATGGCCAATGGATAAGTTGGTCATCTATTGAGTAGATGAAGAAACTGGGGTAAGTTTTGTAATTACTGTGATGCTTGTGTTTTGCTTTTATATCTGCTACTGATATGAGACTTTGTTGATTGTTGCAGGGAATGAAGAAACTTTGGTCCAGATTAGGTAGTTTTAATTAGTTTAAGACTAGACTAATCAGCTTCTGTTATGTACTTTGGAATCAGACTTGTTATGTCTTTTGGATTTAGACTTTTGTTATGTTGAATGATTCTGTATAACTTTCTAACTTTTGAATTGAAATCAGACTTATGTTACAATTTATATTCAGACTTATGTTTTCATGTTTATATTATGCAAAACAGGTATAGAATCAAAATATATAGCTCTCTGAAAATATATATAATAGCAAAATTAAAAGCCATAATTAAATTAAGTATAGCAATTCTTCACTGTCATTGTAGAAAATCAGATATTATAGCACAAAACATGAAGCTACGAAAACAAATTAAACAGCAAGAACAAATTGCTAACGTAGAAGAACCTATTATAGCACAAAATTTGAATTGTCGTTACTTTTTAACAAAAATTTCAGCTGCTATATCAAAATAAATAACAGCAGTTAAATAAAGCTATTGTATCTAAAACTATCATAGCATATCAAAATAACGCTATCGTAGGGGAAACACCTACCATAGCTGCCGATGTCACAGCATTTGTGATTTCGCTATCAATAACGTAAGATAGCATATGGTTTGCGCTATCAATGAACGTTTTTCTTGTAGTGCCATTACGCTTCAAAAAAGAAGGAGTACTTGGTGTTGTGAGTGATCTTGGTGGTTGATTTTATTGCTTTCTTATTTGAGTAGATTTGTTTTTTTTTGTCTGAATTATTCTTGTCCTCATGGGGATTCACTAGGTCAAAGATGTATTTCTTCCATGGTACAATGCATATCGGTTCCTTGTTCAGAATGCAAAGAGACTTGAGATTGAAATTTGTAGGTCCTTTCTTCCTAGTAATCTAGCAACTTTACAGTCATCAAACGTTCTCGATCAGTGGATTCACTCAGCTACGCAGACTCTTGTCAAGGATGTCCACGAAAAGATGGATGAATATCGTCTTGACACCGTAAGCTTTTTACATTTTCAATATGATCTTGCATTAGAAAAAAAAAAGTTACCCTTGTCTTGTGGTATTCAACACATTTTTGCTTTTCATTTTCAGGTGGTTCCTCTTCTCTTGGAGTTCCTTGACAATCTCACTAACATATATGTTAGATTCAACCGCAAGAGGTTAAAAGGCCGTACAGGAAAAGATGATTGTCACACTGCTCTTTCAACTCTCTATAATGTATGGTAAATAATTTTGTTTGCATGGTCACCATTATTTTAACACTTTGTAATAACTAATAATTGTGTATGGAATTTCAGGTTCTCCTTACTTCTTGCAAAGTGATGACTCCTTTTACACCCTTCTTCACTGAGACTTTATACCAGAATCTACGGAAAGTGTGTGAAGGTTCTGAGGAAAGCATTCATTACTGTAGTTATCCTCAAGAGGAAGAAACGGTAATAGCTCCATATATCTCTTTATATCCAAAGATAAAATAGATATTGTCTGAAATTTTTGCTCATTTATATTTTCTTCTCGTGTATAAAACAGAGAGGGGAGAGGATTGAGAAAAGTGTTACAAGTATGAAGAAAATTATTAAACTTGCTCGGAACATTCGTAATCGTAAGGGTGATAAGCTTCAAGAACAACTACCATTGAAAACTCCTCTAAAGTGAGCATTGTACTTAATCATTTTTCAGATTCTGCTTTGTTAGCCTAAAAATAAATTAAATGTTGATACATATATGCTTATTATTCATGTTAAATCAGGGAAATGATTGTAGTCCACCCAGATGCAGAATTCTTGGATGACATAACTGGAAAACTAAAACAGGTCAGTGGTGTTACATAAATAGTTAATCTTTGAGTGTGTATCTTTGATTTTTGGAGTTTGTTATTGAGGACTGTTTGAAACTAGCAAAAGATGTCTATTTACATTCAAGAAACCGCTACTTCAGATTTATCGTGTTTGATTTTGCATTGCAGTATGTCTTGGATGAACTCAATGTAAGATCTCTTGTCCCATGCAACGATACTCTGAAGTATGTGTCACTAAAAGCAGTACCAGATTACAGGTAAGTTTTGTTTTATTCCCGCATTTTGCTTTTAACGCTTGAGTTCAATGTAGAACGTGGTTTTACTTCTTCATTTCTTCAGTGTGTTGGGAAAACGACTTGGAAAGTCTATGGGAATTGTTACACAAGAAGTTAGAAAAATGTCTCACCCAGATATCTTAAGATTTAAGGAGACTAAGGAAGTCACTATTGCTAATCACTCGCTCAAGCTAACAGATATCAAGGTCTCTCATGCTATTGATTTTTCTTGTGGGACATAATGAAGAATATCTTTTAAAGAACTTTATTCATTTCTGACACATTTTGTTCAGATTGTCAGGGATTTCAAACGTCCAGATGGTTTGAAAGATACAGAGATTGATGCAGCTGTAGATGGTACAAATCTTAATTAAATACCACTTCTCTATGGTCAATTTATAATAGTTGCATTCGTTCATGGTTCAGATGATGTTATGGTGATTTTGGATCTACGAGAAGATGAATCTTTGAAAAATGAAGGTGTTGCTCGTGAGGTAAATAAATGTAACCGAAGCGATACATTTGTCTTATAAGTTGTATATTTGCTATATGGGTTTCCTTCTCATTGTGCTCATGCATTTTCTTTTTTCATGTATTGTAGATTGTCAATAGGATCCAGAAACTACGAAAGAAGTCTTGTCTGGAACCAACAGACTTTGTTGAAGTGTACTTTGAATCATTGGACATGGGTGACTCTGTTGTGCAACGAGTTCTATGCTCCCAGGTAACTAAATAGCTTTTGGTTTGTTTCTCACTTCATGCTGTATAATTATACTTGAATTTTACGAATGTTTCATTACTAATTACTACATAAATGTCCTAAACCAGATGTCGTAATTTTGTTTCATCATTCTTGTTTGTTGGATAGGAACAATACATTAGGGAAAAAATTGGCTCCCCTTTGCTTCATTCTACTTTGATGCCACCAGATGTAGTAAGTTAGCCACTCTTATCTCTCGTCTGCTTAGTTTTTCACCGTAGAAAAATAAATTTGTACCGTGTCTGTTATTTGGCAGGTTATAATATCTGATGAGAGTTTTGAATTGAAAGAATCTAAATTTTCATTTAAGATAAGTTTGGCTAGACCAGCTTTAAAGTTCAATGAAGAAGCTCTTCTCGCTTTGTACTCGGGTGAGTCATCATCTCATCACAATGGATGTCCACCGATGATTCTCTTTTTAACGAGTACATTCATCTATGGTTTTCAGGAGATGTGAAATTCGCAACCCGGCTCCAAACATACTTGTTATCGAGGGATCATTCAAATTTAAAATCAGAGTTCCAAGCCGGAGATGGGAAGGTTTGTTTTGCCACTGAAAATGTTGATCGTTACTCGTTAGTTAATCTTTAAAAATCCCAAATTGTTGTACTTTATCCTTTACTATGTTTTGTATGGCAGATAACTGCAAGTTGCATTGAAAAGCTCCCAGTTGTGATTGTGATTCTAGGAGAACATTTGCATTTAACAGTTGGTGACTACTTGTTGAGCAAGAAGAACGCGTGAGAGCCTTTTAAAGTGTTTTCTACTAGATTATTGCAAAAAAGTTAAATATGTGCGTTGAGACTCTGTACTCGTTCTATTTGTACAATACTAAACTTTTGATCATCTCAAAATTGATGGTAGGACAGATATAAGTATGTCTAGTGACCATCGTTGAAGATGGGATTTGGTACAAAAAAAAAGACGAGAAACTTTGGTCGTCTTACTTATAGAAATTTAAAATTATTCGAACTAGCTTCACAAACATGCTCGAGAGTTTCAAAGTGTTTTGGTTTTTATCATATCTTGATCTACGATGTACCAAATCTTGATTTTAACGACTTGGTAATCAAGATCAGTTTGCAATGGAGATAGTGTTGTTGATAACACTCGCTGGATATTCAGTGTATCGGAATGTGGGGTATCAGATCTTGATCTACGCGTGGACTGGGATGAGAAAAGAAACTGCCATTCATGTGGAAGATATTTTTCTTCCAAAACTCAAGACTACTAAAAACTTAAAACGATGTTCGCCGTTTATATCACTTTTTCTTCATCAAAACTCAAAAGTTTGATTTGAAACAATTTGTTTTTTTTTTTATTGCCAAATTTGAAACAATTTGTTAATTACAAAAATTTAAATATTTGACATCATATCTATATAAACATGTCTCCAAACCTAAGAACATAAATTTGACACTTCCGCCTGTGACAATAGACACTGTTTCAAGATCAACAACCTTGGGAACTTATAATATTTTTTTGAGAAAGCGACTAATACATGAACATATTTAGGATAGACAAAACCAACACTTGATGAAATCGTTATTTATTTATTTATTTTTTTTATATACCCGATCGGTTGATCCGGTCAGTCCCGGGGAAACGCACCGAAGTGCTACTATGTAGACTCGTCGTCAACATCTAGGTGTTGGACTATCACACTGTCTAACTCCGAGTTTGGAATGATTTCCGACTAATGTCCGGGTATCCAGTTAGCTTAATCACGGACATGTGAAATCGTTATTTAATTTATTCAAAAAGCATAGCAAAAGAAAATGAACATACGATTCAACCAAAAAAAAAAAAAAACATAGGTAACGTGTCGTCTCAAAACTTCTAGGTTCAATTTCTTTAGTACTATCAATAAATAACCCTTTGAACAATAATGTTTTTGAAGATGATTGATAGATACTGATTAGAAATTCATAAGAGTACACTTGGGATTCTATGGTCTAATATGGTTTCTAGAGTCAAAACCATAAAACTAAAAGTTAGGAAAGTAATAATAAATAGACCAATGTGGTTTCAAATATATACTCATTACTCTTTAGATTCATTTTTTTTTTTTACTCTTTAGATTCATGTACGGTGGGGGATGTGCCTTTAGTCAAGTGGTTAAGTCCACTTGACTCCGCCTTCTCCACCGGAGTTCGACTCCAGGGATTGGCTATGGATCGGGCTTTGTCGATCCAAAGATGTCAAAAAAAAAAAAAAAATTCATGTATGGTGAAGGAAACATTAAAATAAAAAAATCAAAGTTTTGTAGGTCCCTCATATTAATCAACATCTTATTAAGGCGTTATACATATCTTCTTTTTCTAAATTTGACTAATTATGATATTTGATTAGAGTATTAGACTAATCTCATCAATATTCGACTACTTGTGTCAGTTCAAAACACAGTGATTACGTTAGATTTGGTGCTATTTTGTTTGAAAACAAAGCTAATTTAAGATTCATGATCTATTTGCCTCCTTGGTCTAAATATAATATTTTTTAGGTTCCTACATTCATGTCATGTGGCTTGATGGTTTCCAACACTTATATAAATATTTTACTCATTTATTTATATACAAAAAAAAAGTTTTATTCTATTCTTCATTCTCATGATCATACGGGATTTTGATAAAATTCAGAGTACCCATTAATTATTCTAATTTACAGCTTGTAATAAGTTACATTTCTTATAAAAAAAACATACAAGTTGAGAAATAACAAAAGTTAAATATTTAATAATTTATACACAAATTAGTGACAGAAAAAAACAAATTATTTTTAGTGTGAATAAAAAGACCGTCTAAGTTCGGTTCATGTAAGAACAAGTGGGACCTTTAATAAGTTTCTAAATCAAAGAATAAATAAACTCTCAAAACCTTCCTCTAAAACCAACGGCTCCGACCTTTATTTACACCTATACATACACTTATCAACCTTCCTTTTTTCTCCAACGGCGGCTTATGGCTGTTTTCCGGCACTAATCAGCTCCGGCATATATATAAACAAACGTACTTACACGTTTTTTTTTTATATGAATCCAAACTAGTTTCAGATTTGTCGCTATCTCTTCACTTTTGAGTCTTCTGGTTTTGTCACCACCAGCTTTTTTGTTCTCTCTCTCTCTCTCTCTCTCTCTCTCTCTCTCTCTCTCTCTCTCTCTTTCTCGTTTTTTTGTTTACTCTCTTCGTCGTTGAGTTTCTATGAGAGAAAGATCGGAATGTCGAAGAGAATTAGAAGATTCTCGTACGTCGCTTCGTTGGAATTTCACATGTCGATGAGATCTAAGAACTGTTTCACTTTGATCCAAAATCATCTCTTTCAGGTAACCCAAATTAAAAGTTTTGATTTTTACCATTTTTCATTGAATCAAAATTGTCTCAATTTTAATGGGTTTTTTGTAAATTTCCCTTTTTTCACATTTACAAAGTTAAAGTTTTGATTTTTCACTCTGTTTCTTGCAGGGTTTAATGTGAAAATGGTTAAAGAAATATCTTATGGGTTCTTGATACTATCAATGGTGATGTTTGTTTCTCCGGTGATAGCTATAAACGGCGGTGGTTATCCACGGTGTAACTGTGAATACGAAGGAACTAGTTTCTGGACTACAGAGAATATTCTTGAAACTCAAAGAGTAAGCGATTTCTTAATCGCAGTAGCTTACTTCTCAATCCCTATTGAGTTACTTTACTTTGTGAGTTGTTCCAATGTTCCATTCAAATGGGTTCTCTTTGAGTTTATCGCCTTCATTGTTCTTTGTGGTATGACTCATCTTCTTCATGGTTGGACTTACTCTGCTCATCCATTTAGATTGATGATGGCGTTGACTGTTTTCAAGATGTTGACTGCTTTAGTCTCTTGTGCTACTGCGATTACGCTTATTACTTTGATTCCTCTGCTTTTGAAAGTTAAAGTTAGAGAATTTATGCTTAAGAAGAAGGCTCATGAGCTTGGTCGTGAAGTTGGTTTGATTTTGATTAAGAAAGAGACTGGCTTTCATGTTCGTATGCTTACTCAAGAGATTCGTAAGTCTTTGGATCGTCATACGATTCTTTATACTACTTTGGTTGAGCTTTCCAAGACTTTGGGGTTGCAGAATTGCGCGGTTTGGATGCCGAATGATGGGGAAACGGAGATGAATTTGACTCATGAGTTGAGAGGGAGAGTTGGTTATGGCGGTTGTTCTGTTTCTATGGAGGATTTGGATGTTGTGAGGATTAGGGAGAGTGATGAAGTGAATGTATTGAGTGTGGAGTCGTCTATTGCTCGGGCTAGCGGTGGGGATGTTAGTGAGATTGGTCCCGTGGCTGCCATTAGAATGCCGATGCTTCGTGTTTCGGATTTTAATGGAGAGCCGAGTTATGCGATTCTTGTTTGTGTTTTACCGAGCGGGCAGCCTCGGGATTGGACTTATCAGGAAATTGAGATTGTTAAGGTTGTGGCAGATCAAGTAACGGTTGCGTTAGATCATGCAGCGGTTTTGGAGGAGTCTCAGCTTATGAGGGAGAAGCTGGCGGAACGGAACAGGGCGTTGCAGATGGCGAAGAGGGACGCGTTGAGGGCGAGTCAAGCGAGGAATGCGTTTCAGAAAACGATGAGTGAAGGGATGAGGCGTCCAATGCATTCAATACTCGGTCTTTTGTCGATGATTCAGGACGAGAAGTTGAGTGATGAGCAGAAGATGATTGTTGATACAATGGTGAAAACGGGGAATGTTATGTCGAATTTGGTGGGGGACTCAATGGATATGTCTGACGGTAGATTTGTAACAGAGATGAAACCGTTTAGTCTGCATCGTACGGTCCATGAAGCAGCTTGTATAGCGAGGTGTTTGTGTCTATGCAATGGAATTAGGTTCTTGGTTGACGCGGAGAAGTCTCTACCGGATAATGTAGTAGGCGACGAAAGAAGGGTCTTTCAAGTGATACTTCATATGGTTGGTAGTTTAGTAAAGCCTAGAAAACGTCAAGAAGGATCTTCATTGATGTTAAAGATTTTAAAAGAAAGAGGAAGCTTGGATAGGAGTGATCAAAGATGGGCAGCGTGGCGATCACCGGCTTCTTCAGCAGATGGAGATGTGTATATAAGATTCGAAATGAATGTAGAGAATGATGATTCAAGTTCTCAATCATTTGCTTCTGTTTCGTCAAGAGATCAAGAAGTTGGTGATGTGAGATTCTCTGGCGGCTATGGGTTAGGACAAGATCTAAGCTTTGGAGTTTGTAAGAAAGTGGTCCAGGTGAGTTTCGTCGTACATATCTCTTTCTAAAGTTCCCATCCTTAGTTGATTCTTTGATTCTTTGATAATGTGTGCAGTTGATTCATGGGAATATCTCGGTGGTCCCTGGCTCGGATGGTTCACCTGAGACCATGTCGTTGCTCCTTCGGTTTCGACGTAGACCCTCTATATCTGTCCATGGATCCAGCGAGTCGCCAGCACCTGACCACCACGCTCACCCACATTCGAATTCTCTATTACGTGGCTTACAAGTTTTATTAGTAGACACCAATGATTCAAACCGAGCAGTTACACGTAAACTCTTACAAAAACTTGGATGCGATGTAACCACGGTATCATCTGGATTCGATTGCCTTTCCGCCGTTGCTCCCGGCTCGTCCTCGTCTTCTACTTCGTTCCAAGTGGTGGTGCTTGATCTTCAAATGGTAGAGATGGACGGTTATGAAGTGGCAATGAGGATCAGGAGTCGATCTTGGCCGTTGATTGTGGCGACAACGGTGAGTTTGGATGAAGAAATGTGGGACAAGTGTGCGCAGATTGGAATCAATGGAGTTGTGAGAAAGCCAGTGGTGTTGAGAGCTATGGAGAGTGAGCTCCGAAGAGTATTATTGCAAGCTGACCAACTTCTTTAAGTTGCTATCTCACCTTCTCTTCTACATTCAAAATTTTTACAACATTGTTTTTACACCATAGATTTATGTCAAATATATCAAAACGAAATTTCGAAATTGTTATTATATACCACCCATATCTCTATGATTTGTACATGTTGCTATTTTTTGTTCTTTTTCTCATTTGGACCCCACGAAATTGCATTGAATCCTTTAGCAAAAAAGAAATTGCATTGAATCTTAATATTTCGTAGGGTCAAGAACACAACTTTTTTTTATTTAAAAAAAGAAAAAGAAAAAGAACACAAGTTTTAAGATTAGAAACAGTATAAAATAAGTTATCGAAGGTAAATAAACAAAACAAATTATAAAACTTATGAACGATGTAA